CTCTGAGCTGAAGTGGTCTTTGTGACTATAGTGTTCCTTTAATTTGACATATTAGATCAGAAAACAAATCAACAAACTTAAATGTTACCCTGTTCCCAGGATTTATAATACTATAATTTACCTATCCTCTATATTTACCAAAATGTATTTGTGAAGTGTGAAAAATAAAATTACATGTAGAAAGTAACACCCCTTTATCCCATTCCTGGAAGTCTTCATCTCAGATCCCTGCCAAACATCACCATAAATGTTGCCCTTTTCTGATTCTGAACATGGAAGAGGAGAAGCTGTAATAATGTTTCTGTACTCATTTGCATTGCGTGCCTGGACTGGACTTAACTGTGATGTCAGTGCTAAATAGTTAATATACATAACTGGTGATTTTCGATTTTTATTCAATGGTTTAATTCTAGAGTAGTGAAAGTTCAGCTTTAAAGCACATGTCCCCTTTTATAAACACTATTTTTGAGGCAACATGCCATATTTTCACTCATATTTAGCAGGTTGTATGGTTGTGGAAGGGCCATCAAGAATTTTTAGCTTGTAAAGACTATTTTGTAAGCTGTTATGAATAATTGCTAACAAAAAAGGTCCTTACAAGCTAAAAATTCTTGATTTTGCATTTTATCATGCAAATCACAAAACCAATTACATGCACATTCAGATTATGGTGACATAAACATCCATACAGACTCATTATTTTTGCACATGTGTGCAAATACCAACAGTCAGCAGTGACGTGGTGATGATGACAAAATAAAAATTACAGCACAATATCCTTCATGTGAAATGTTATTGTTTTCAACATCTCTTGACATAGTAGGCGGTATATGCGTATAAAATGAGAGGACATTTTCTGCACTCATTTTGGATTTCCTATTGTATCTGAACACACATCAGCAGGACTCTACAGCAAGAGTAAATAGAGATGAAAATAGACTGGGACTTTAATATTTTGTTGGGTTTTTTTTTTTTGTGAGGTTTGCTATACAATTAGACTGATGCCAGAATACCAAAGAAAACCATGTTCTAATTATTATTATTATTATTATTATTATTATTATTAATAATAAAATCAGAACTGAACAACCCAAGTCTAATTAGTAAAATGATAAACGTGTACTCACATTTATGATGGCAATCTCAGCATCCTTATTGTTGAGTAGTTTTGCATTCTGAAGGGCATTCTCGAAGTTGGTAACTGCTGACTCATATTCCTCTAGCTTCACTTTACAGAAATAAGTCAATACCAATAACAGTAGGTCAAAATCTAGTGAAAGCTGTGGCATGTTCACACATAAATGTTGCTGTGCTCTTCAAACATTAAATTGGTGACACAATGTTTAATACAACTTAAAGTACGAATTAAATAGGTATTTTATAAATAATGATGAGCTACATTAGACTTTTCGGGTTGTAAAGAAGCCCTCAAATAATTTTCTGTAAACTGTGCTTTAGCATGCTCGGATGAGAAAATGTTTGGATTGGTAATTGTATTTCTTGGTTACTTATTGCAAATCAGCATTTCTATGCTATAATAATTTACTGCATGTGATATTTCTGCACCTTAAATGGTTTGATTTTTGAATTAATTACTTATAAGTAGCATATGTTCATCAGAAGGTTTTTCCTTATTGGAGGTACCAACAGATTTACTTATCGTGAATAATATATTACCTTGGGCCTGTGCCACTAAGACGCTGGCATTTAGCTGCCACTCAGTGTCTTCAGCTTCCTCCGCAGCCACCTGAGATTTTTCTCCATAATCCCTAGCTTCAACTGGTGCTTCTAATGCCAGATAGCATCTTCCAATCTCATGGAACAGCCATGTTTTCTCCAGACTTGAATTGGCCAAAGGTATTTTCTCTTCCCACCTATGAATGGACATATCATTATCATCATCATTTGAGTCTTCCAGCATCTTAATTAATATTTTTCTATTCAATGACGTTCAGAATGATTTCCCTCTCTATGGTTTACGATTTCAGACTTTTACATTTTCATTGCTCTCAAGCACTGCTGTGTTGGCATATTTATAGGGCTATATTTCATTGGTAGATTATTTTCAAAACAGACATCTGATTTATAGTATTTGTTATGCTGTGAAATATATTAAGATTTCATGAACAACAGTAATGTTATTACATGTGGCCCAGGGTTTTCCTTTGTTAAAGAAACTCAGAATTCAAAAGTTGGACCAGTACTACTTGAACAAAAGAGGACTCCAGAAATCATAAAATAATAAAGGTGATTATAGTCAAGTTTTAAATTTGTTTAATACTTTTGATATGATCAAAGAAGTAACATATAGAAAGAGTATGGATAGGAAGAAATACAAGTCAAGAAAATTAATAAACTTAAAAAGAGGAGAATAAAAAAGGGGAGAATAACCACAAAAACTGTATTACGGAAAAACAGGGCAAACGCAATGACTAACTTTCATGAATACAACACATGGATTCTACATGTTGCATCTATTGGTCACAGCAGCATCAAGATAATGTATACAAGTTCAGGTGATTGCTGCCCTCTTGCAAATCTTAGAGTCATGACAAACTTCCTTGGAGGATGGATTTCCCAACTAAGTGGGTTAAAGAACAGGTGTCAGGTTGTTTGACTAGAACCTGCCAGGAAGGGGTATATTGATGTTGAGGATGGCTTATGCAATATATGATCATATACAGGTATCGTAACTAAATCTTGTTGCCCAAAGGAGGTGTTTTTAAATCAAGACATTTTTGTCGTCTTAGAAACCAGTTTATATCGGAGCAAGTGCGCTAGGACTTGTATATTCTGGTAAATGGTCCCAGCAGAACCATTATAATTTATGCATATTTAGGTGAAAGCAGTCCTCTTGGTCCATATGTGTACGTTAACTTTCCAAGACAGTCTATTAGTAAGTAATATATCCTGATAAGATGATATATTATTATATATGATATTAAAAAGCACTTTTTACTTAGAATTAGAAGTTAGAATCTTAGAATAGAACATGAAAGCTAATAGTAACAGTGTGAGATCCTTTATCAAATGATTTAGCCTAGGTCTATCATGCTCCAGGTCTTTTGAAAATGGAACGCTACTTACGCTTTGATTGCATCCTTAAATTTCCCAATCCTTGCATTAACTCTACCAATGTTATCAAGAGCTCTTGAGTTTGATTCAGTTAAGTTGCTGAAAAAAATTGAATAATCAGGATTCACATTTGGAGCAGCGGTTAAATGTCAATGACCTACAAACATCAGAACCAGTATGCAGAACATAATGTTTACTTTTCTATAAGTAGACTATACATGATTATACAGTATTCGTATTCAGGGCATCAAAAGCCATAGAGTTAGAGATATAAAACATACAGGGAAGGGGCAAAGTCGGTTGTGGTGTGCCGGAACCAACGATGCAGTAGGCATGAAATAAAAGAGGGCAAAAAGAGATATATCATAACAAAAATTTTATTCAGCCTACAAATACAACATAAATACATTACATAATCATATTCCGGAAAGCTAGACGTACTTCTTATACAGGTTGAGGTATGTATCTAGTGTAGGCAGTGGACTTCCACTGACCTAACGTTTTGATAATGTGTATGGGAATATTCCTCTTGGATACCGTGGTAGCAGCTCCTATATGGATTGAATGACCTGAGTATTTGCTGGGTTAACGCCTAACTGTACCAAAAACATTCTAACATAAAGCATAAACCTAGTAGTAGTTAGTGTATTCCCGTAGAATGCTAAATAGATGGCAGTTTTAATGACGTGATTTGTCAGTGTTTCAAATGATGAGGCATCTAGGAGGTCTGAAAGTGACTGGAACAAGTGATCGTGTATCTGTAGTCTTGAAGGTGTAGGCATAGGTGTGGAGTCTTTGATACCTTTTAATGTAGATTTTATCTGGTAGGATGAAAGGAAGCGTTGCTTATTAGGCCATGTGGTGAGGATATGGTGTTGAATGCCGGTAAGGTATAATTTTATAGTGTTGAATGATAGCTTTAGGCAGGGGCATACTGGGAGCATTTGGCAACCCACCCCCTCCCCCCCCCCCACACACACACACACACAATTTTAAAATGTAAAAAAGACCCACAAATTATTTTTTTTAAATGTATTTATCATTGAGTAGTGTTTGCATTTTTTAAAAATATATTTAACACTCGCCAGTGTTTGCGTGTTTGAATGTAAGCATGTTTTTGTATGACGTATTTGTGAGTGAATGTAGGGAGGGGTTTGTATGTAGAGTTGGCATTTGAATGCAGGCGTGCATTTTTGTGTAATTTGTTTTTTGAATATCTGGTGTGTTTTCATGTAATGTTGATATTTGGATGCAGGGGTGTATTTGTGTGTAGTGTTGGCAAAATGCTGAGATGTATTCACATATACTCAAATATACACACACTGGCACACATGCAGATACATATACACACAGATGCACACACTGGCATACAGATACACAGACACATAGGTATATACATGCAGACACATAGAAACATAGTAATGCACAGATACAGACAAACACTGACACACAGATACAAACACACACACACACATATACAGAGGCACAGACACAAATACAGATACACACATACAGATACACAGGTATAAGTGTGTGTTTACTGTATGCAGTGCGTGTGTGTATCGTGTATGCAGGGCATGTGTGCATAGTGTATGCAGTATGTGTAGTGTATATAGTGTGTAGTGAGCAGTGTGTATTGTTTGTGTGCATGTGTCCCTCCCTGACTCTTACCTGTGTCCTGGGAGGAGGGACACACTATATTCCCTTGTGGTCCGGTGGCACAGTATGGTTGCCCAGGAGTCTCCATGTTTGATTCACATCCAGCAGCAGCATGTCCTCTGTTCTTGCGATCCGTGAAAGTGTTGCAGTGGGTTGCCATAGCAACATGCGGCAACGCTCTCGCAGATCGCGAGAACAGAGGACATGCTGCTGCTGGATGTGAAGTGAACGACTGGAGACTCTTGTAAGCGGCTCGGTCCCTTTGC